AAGAGAATCGCATTTCCTTCTGACGTTAAAAAGGTTCTGGGGGCACCCGGGTGGCTTAGTCGGTTAAGCGTCCGACTTTGGCTTAGGTCATGATCTCGCGGTTCGTGGGTTCGAGCCCCGCGTCGGGCTCTGTGCTGACTGCCAGCTCAGAGCCTGGAGCCTGTTTCAGTCTGTGACTCCCTCTCTCTCTGACCCTCCCCTGCTCATGCTGTCTCTCTCTCTCTCTCTCTCTCTCTCTCTCCTAGAAATTAAAAAAAAAAAAAAAAAAGGCTCTGAACACTCTTGTGAGAGGATCTGACACACAACAGGAGAAAGAGAATACCAAAGCTGGGGTGCCAGGAGGAGGCGCCTGGCACGCCGCTGGGAGCCTGGCAGCCCGGATGTGGCCTTCTGGAGAAATGAGGTTCCCCTCCGCGATGTGGAAGCTTGGAAACAGGGCCAGGCAGGAGGCAGAAGGTCTTAGTGGACCCACAGCAAACCAGAAAACCGAAGAATGACTTTTCACACCTCCCACTTCCCCCCAACATAAGCCAGTGGTTCTCAATCCTCGGACCGCGTAAGAATCACCCAAGATGTGCTGGAAATGTAAACGCAGGGCACCTGGATGGCTCAGTGTGTTCAGTGACCGGCTTTTTATTCCAGCTGCGGTCATGGTCTCACGGTTGTGAGATCAAGCCCAGAGTTGGCTCTGGAGAGTTGGCTCCACACACCCAATGTGCAGCCTGTTTAGGATTCTCTCCCTGCCCCTCCCCAGCTCGTGCTCGTGCACACTCTCTCTCTCTCTCAAAAGAAAATAAATAAATAAAAGTAAAGGAAATGTAAATGTAACAATGGACCCCAACACAAGATTCAGACCAACAAAATCTGCTTTATCAACCACATCCCAGGAGATCCTGATGTGGGTGTGGTCTTTAGGCCTCCACTATAGTGATTTTAGAAGAAACCAGCATGTTTTTACAACTTTTGGGTTGAGCCCTTTAATAACTAAAATTGTAGCGCACCTCTTAGTTCACAAAAGGCTTTCAAACCAAAGGTCTTATGTGAGACTCAGAATTACCCTTTTATAAAGGTGGAAACTGAGGCATCATGCCAGCCTTCCGATTCCAAAGCCTTCCGATTCCAGAGCCCCAGGCAGCCTCTCCAGGGCCCCGGGTCAAAGCAAGACCAGGCATGGGTTACCTCAATGGTTCTCCAAACATGAGAACCAGATCCCCTGGGAACTTGTCACAAGGGCATTTTGTGGGCCCCACCCCCCGACTCTAGTTTTGGAGACTTTGGAGCGTAGCTAACGGTTTGTGCTTTCACAGGCCTCCTCAGGGGGCGCTGACGCTTGAGAACCTCAAACAGACCCCAAAACGTAATGGCACCCTCAGTATCCAGATCCTCCACCACTGAGCAGAGCCATCAGTGGGAGGAATCTGGGGAGGGCGAGGGCGGTGGGCGAGGGTAAGCTTCTTCCTAAACCTTTCCCTCCAGTCAAGCATAATCCAGAACTTGGGACGTGCCAATTTTTTTTCCCCTGCTTCTCTGAATGGCCGCACTGTCCATATTTCTACCCTTCTCCCCCGGGAGTTTATCAGCTATCAGATACACTTTATGAGAGCCGGCCTGGTTCTCAGCCTCACCCTTCCTTCCCACGGGCCGTCTGGACGCCGCTGACCTTCAGAGCCAGCCGCAGCTCCCTGAGTCCCGGCTCGTCCAGAGGCAAGTCTGGAAGCAGAGCCAGAGCCAGCCCACCCTCCGGGAGCTACACATCCTCTCCTTCGTCTGTCTGCCTGGGCCCTGCGGCTGGCTCACACTTTCTCCTTCTCCCAGTCAGGCTGTTTGGCTCTTGAAAGCTGAGAATTCCTTGCCTCCCACATGGAGAGAGCGGATCCCTTGTCTTGTCTGCAGACCAGGCTCAAATAGCTCCTTTGTGACAGCTTTCCTGGTGCCCACCCCGCCCCCTTTCCAGGAAAAGTGAGCCGGCTCTCCCTCTGGGCTCTTCGGGCATCTGGGTCTCACCTCCTCGCATTTGCCTCACCGTTTTCTCAGTCTGTTTACCCGCCTTGAAATGCTTCTCCGACTGCCAGTATCTATGCCTATTCCTGGCCCAACGGAGGATGTCAGTAAATGTTCAATGGAACGTGTTTGATGTTGCACACGCGGGCTGGGATGCCTGTTTGCTTGATTTCCTCCCAACCGCAGGCGGTGACCGGTGGACCGTGCTTTCTGTATCTGGGCTCCTGGCATGTGGAGGGGCAGGCTTGGGGCTCAGACAAACAGGGGTGATCAGGATGTACAGGTGCACCAGAGAGTGCATCGTTACCTTCTGGGTCTTCCCCGTATCAGGCTGAACAATTTAGACCCTCCCACACACCCTCCAATCCTTCCCCCTTTTGGGGACTCGCGAAGTGTCCCTGGACCCTTCCTCCAAACTCAGGCTTCCAAGACTTTTTTTTTTTTTTTTTAATTTTTTAATTTATTTTTTTACAAATAGTTTATTGTCAAGTTGGTTTCCATATAAGACCCAGTGCTCATCCCCACAGGTGCCCTCCCCCATGTCCCTCACCCCCCTTCCCTTTCCCCCCCACCCGTCAGCCCTCAGTTTGTTCTCAGCATTCAAGAGTCTCTCATGGCTTGCCTCCCTCCCTCTCCCCCACCATTTCCCCCCTTCTTCTCCCCCTTGTTCCTCAGTTAAGTTCCTCCTAATCCTCCTATACCTGCAAACATATGGCATCTGCCCTTCTCTGCCTGACTTATTTCGCTCAGCATAACACCCTCAAGGTCCATCCATGTTGCTACACAGGCCAGATTTCATTGTTCTCATTGCCATGGAGTATTCCATCGTATAGATAAACCACATCTTCTTGATCCATTCATCCGTGGATGGACACTTAGGCTCTTTCCATGTTTTGGCTATTGTGGAGAGTGCTGCTATGAGCATTGGGGTACATG